AAACATACATGAGTAGATAAATGGGGACTCTCACTCCGGTGGGAGGAAAAATGCTGGCGGCGCCTTGCAAAAGGAGTCAGGAGTGGTTGCCGGTAATGCGGAACCCGCGCACGCGCGAAAAAGGTGCGAAGCAACGGAAACCCCGCCTCCTGCGCTTGCCAGCTGGGCTCTACTCTAGGAAGGAGGCACTGGCAAACCACTTCCGGAAAAAAAAACACCTTGCCTTGAAAACTGTAAGGACTCGTCCAAGCAGTCACTGTAGAGTTGGTAACGACTGAGTGTGGATTAAAAAAAAAATGCTGGCCAGCCTTTTTAGCAGTTGCACTACAAACAAGTTCAACAGGTTGAAGGTCCTCAATGAATATTATAGCAGCACCCCCATTTGCTGAAATACGTATGTGTCCCATCATGAGCTGAATTCTCTCCCAATGTATTTGAGTCCTCTGTAATGCTTATCCCTGCCAGGCTTAGACATTTTTGGCCATGGTATCAAGATGGGAGACAATGGGCATCTTGCCTGCTTCATCTGGATAACATTTTATTCTACATTACCATGCACATTCTCCCCACTCTCCAGCTTCAGTTAAGCAGAACAAGCAAGCATGCAGGCCTGACTTAGCACTATAGAAGGACACATCCTTAATCCTCTTTTTCCTGTCCAGATATGCCATATATTTCTTTGCCTGTATCATTCATGCCACAGTTTCTCCACCATGGCAAAGAATTAATGGTATTGATATCAGTCTTGTATTTAGATGAATTATTGTATCTTGCCTTTCTGCTATGACAAGCAATTTTATTTTATCTTGGCTATTATCAGACTGTCTTTTAATTTTTTTTTAAATTTAAGTTTTTGCTTTAATATATAGAAAGAAAAAAAGATACAGAAAGAAATGAAAAGCAAACAAATAAGGAAAGGGGAAGGAAAAAGGACTCATAAAAAAGCTCAGCTTTAAGCACAGTATTAAACCTAACCTTGACCACATAGTAATATTGATCACTCTTTCCATTACATCGATAAACCAATTCATTAGCAGAAAGCAATTATACATGATCAATCTAAGACTGTAGATCTGGGAAACACTGTCTTTCCATCTTTTTTGCAATAACCCATGCTCACTAAAACCACTATTCTTCATATAATGATAAATTCCAAATTTGGGGTACATAATTCAAAATAACATTCACATCTTTGAACCATATTGCTCTTTCCAAAAACATATTAACAAACATATGGATATTAAATCAAAACAGGAGAATGGTGGCTCAAGTCCATGTTATATGAATTAGGGTGCCCTCTATCATTTTACACTTCCAGCATAATTATTTTGACAGTTACCCATTTTAAACTTGATCATGTCCAATAAACATG